AAATTTAAAATATAAATTGTAAAATAAATTAAAAAAAAAAAATCAAAGGAAAGGCAAGGCTATCCTACATGGAAGGGGAGGGTTGTGCTATCATTTGATGCAAAAAATGTAAAATAATTAAAAACTTAAAACTCTAGGTGAGAGATATCCATGGCAAACATTGACCCTGGTGGGAGAGAAAATTTTTTTTTTAATGATAACTATATTAATAATATTAATATTTATTTTTAAAAAAAAAAATCTTAAATCTTAAATTTAAATTTCACATAATTAGAAATATCATTAATTTATTTTTAAAAAAGTGATCATTTGAATCACATGGTTCATTGACCACGTGGGAGAGAATGTAACTTTAAAGGAAGGGAATATAAAATAAAAAAAATCAATCAATTTGGTGTTTTTTCGACCACAATGTTACCTTCACTGGCAAGACTACTTTCAAATTAATTTGGAAAAATTAAAACCCATTTTTTTATAGTATCCACACATACATATATAAATATTATATATATATATATATGTTTGCCAATTCGAAGCTTCTCATCCCCTATCCAATTCCAAATCCAAAAGCCCCTCCTCTGTTTTCTCTGTAGCGATGCAGCTCTTCTCAAAGTCACTTACTTCCACTGATGTCCGCAAGAGATTAGCCATCCCCACTAAAATTGTGACCTTCTTGTTACCCAACGGAGGCGACCACGTGGTGGAATTGCACGTCCGGCATGGAACCACAGTGTGGCCAATTTTGTGCACAACTCGCAAAAAAGGGCATAAAAAACCTGTATTTTCCAGAGGGTGGAAACACTTTGCTCTTAAAAACAAACTAAAAGAGGGCGACGTTGTGACACTTTACAAGGAGGAAGATGAAGCAGGGTTTTTGGATTACAAGATCGAAGTGAAGAGAGCAGATAAGCCATCTCTTAAGCATTCCTGTGCCACCGTCGGCGATTTACCGTCAGGTAACTCCGGCGAAGCTACTTGTAAATCACATCGCAGGTTTGAAGATAGTGTAGCCAAGCGATTCGGTGTTGCAGATGAGAAAGTAGAAAAACGCTCTCTCAAGGCATTTGGGGTTCATGTCTTTGAGAATCGCCCACCGGCGGACACCTTCTCCTATGAAGCGACCGCCAGAAAAACAGAGATTACGGCCAGGGAGGAGAAAGAATACTACAAGAATTCTGAAGGGCTCAGTCTAGATTTGACTCTTGCGCCGCCCACAGTAATTGGCCCAAGATAAATTCTGTAGCTCATGGCCGCCATAGCCCAATCAAAAACAGTATCAGTCGGTTTTGGTTACAGCCATATTATAGTTTGGTAAATGCTTGATCATATTCATGCTTAATTTGATGTATATTATAGTGTATTTAGTTTGAAGAGGAGAAAAAATTTATTAATTAAATTATAATATATTTACATATTATAATTTAATTACTAAAGATCTCTATTATTCTCTTTTGTTTTTATTTCTCTCAAATGCAACATGCTATTAATATTGATATATTAAGAAATGGATTCCCCCAAACTTAGTGTATGCTTTATCTGACTTAATGCTATTTCATATGATTTATAAATAATAATAAAAAAAAATCATGCTTTCTGACCCGCACTCGGTCTTTGGCACATTGGAGAAATGCATCAATTCCCCCTCATCCACAATTGTAATAGTTAAAAAACAAGAAAAAGGAAAATCATGCTTCATGACCGTGAAAATGCTGCTGCCGGCGGTGAGTGAAGCGCAAGTTGACTGGTCGGATCTAAAATTATTGCCAGTGATGTACAGTGATGTGTGATATGTATTAATTAGATGAATTATGGTCCATGAAGAATAATCCATTGACCATCTCGCGCTCTTAATTACCACATGATTGGGAATACAAGGGAGCGCGCGGGATAAGAAACGAGGTCGTGACGCACAAATTTAACTATTTTAAGATTCATAATCAGAATGTTGGGCCTAGAAATAAATTCCTTTTTCTACGACTAATTAGGCAAAACCTTACGGTTAAATAAAAATTAAATTTATTTTGTTAATATTAATTAATATTAAAATAATACAGAATTACATATTAAAAATATAGATTAAAAGAACTTTTAATTAAAATATATAATGATTGTAACCTTAATATTCTATCCATTAATAACTTGTAAATAAAGGTAAGCATTGAAGCCCATCATTGAAAGAATAATTTCCTTAATAAGGCTTGATTCTTCCTTGACAGTTCGCGTTCAATTTAATTTAATGTCCTTTACAAATGATGTGTCCCTCATCGTTGAATTTTCGTCCTCGCATTCACACTTTCTCTTCACATGTAGGTCAGTACCATACAAGTCATCAGTTCATAATGATGGCTCAACACAACCCTTAAGATATGTACGTAGCATCTTAATCGAGCTATCGATAGAAACATGTGTGAACAAAAATGGTATGAAATCAAAAGTAGATTTATATATAGATATTAATTAGTATTTATTAATTGAATTTATAAAAAATTAAATAAAAAAAATTTAAAATTATGTTATTTTAGAAAAATATTATAAAAAATTTAAAAAATTCTTTTTTTAAAATATGTTATTTTAGTCCTTTTTTTTTAAAATATGAATTTGTTACATCAATATAATTTTGAGTTATTTTTCAACTTAACTTTTTATAAGTTTGATTGATAAATATTTTTCCTATATAAATAACTCTATTTCTATATCATAATTAAAAGAAATTGAGGAAAAGCAATAAGTTCTGACAATTAAAGATGAATAATGAAAACACTAAATATTCTTAATAAATCAATAAACAATTATTTAAAATATTTGAATAATTTTACAAAAATCTTAATATTTAGATTGTTAATATATCATGATTTTTATTTTTCTCTAATCAAAATATTGGCCTACAAAAGAGATTTTAATTATGTAACCATCTGACTTTACATTGAACGCATACTAAAGACAGAATTATTTCTAGATCAATATCAAAAGGCTAAAGTAGTGTCTAAGATCCTTAACTTACACTAAATTTGTAAATAATGTCTCAAAATTTAATTGTGCTCAATTAAAATTTTAAAATTTTCAAAATTCTTAAATAAGTTTTTGATTAAACAAAAACTGTTAAATCTATTAAATCATTAGTTAATACTATTAAATCTAATCGATTAAAATAAAAAAAAATGTTCTTTAAACTTTTAATAACCTTAAAACTCTCAAAAACCTTAAAATGATCCTTAAATTAATTTTTTTGTTGGTAAGGAAAATTTTGTGGGTCCACAATTAAAAATTAATTTTAATTATCTAAAATAATTTACAAATTAACTTTTAAATGATTTTATTAAAATTAATTAACCATTGACAAATTTTTTGAGTGTGTCACACACATTTGCAAAATAAATTCATTCATGGAAAAAAAAATGTTGAGGTCCAAATACATGCTAGTGATGCCACAATAATTTTTATTTGTGAGTCCTACAAAATTTCCTCATCAATGAAACAAAACAATAGGAGCATAATTTTAAGGATATTGATAACTAAAACTTAAAAGTCTTAAGTCCAAGGATCATTTTTGTTAGATTAAATATCTTTTTTGGTCTCTCTACTATTGAAAAAATCCCTTTTTGATCCCTATATTGAAAAAATCCCATTTTTAATCCCTAAAGATTAAAATCCAGTCCCTTTTTTATCCGTCTGTTAAATTTTTTGATATGTGACAGTTAATTAACAAAATTATGTGATGTGCAAAATCCACTTTATAAAAAAAAAATGATGTGGATATAGTTTTGCATCCACGTTAGTATCTTCAATTCTTCACCCT